GGCACAAGAATCACTTGAACCTGGGAGACAGAGGTTGCAGTGAGCTGAGATTGTGCCACTGTACTCTGGCCTAAGTGATAGAGTAAGACTCTGTCTCAAAAAAAAACCCACCAACAACAAAAAATAAATATCAAAATCTAAGGAGGAAATTGAGGCTGATGATCTATGAGAAGACAGATCAGCTGTACCAAGAAAGGAATACCCTTTTAGTTAAAACTTATACTCACGTGGCCAGGTGCTGTGGCTCACGCCTGTAATCCCCACACTTTGGGAGACCAAGGTGGGCGGATCACTTGAGGCCAGGAGTTCAAGACCAGCCTGGCCAACATGGCAAAACCTTGACTCTACTAAAAGTACAAAAATTAGCTCTGTGTGGTGGCGTGCGCCTGGAATCCCAGCTACTATTGAGGCTGAGGCACAAGAATCACTTCAACCTGGGAGGCAGAGCCATGAGCCAAGGTTACCCAACTGTGCTAAAACCTGGGTGGCAGGGCAAGACTTTGTTTCAAAAAAATAGAGAAGAACCCTCATACTAAAGCATCATCTGGGGGAAAATTACTAATAAGATTATGGTTGGAAAATAGCCAATGTAATATATGATCTACATAAATTGTAAAACAGAGACATTATGTAATATTAAATGATATGTTGAAATGAGTTGTGATAAGTATAAAGAGAAGGGTCAGATCTATTCAGTGGAAAATTAGCTGGAAAGGACTTTTTGTTTTTCTCTTAAATTATCATAGGATGAGGTAGACCCAAGCTGGGTATTAAAAATATGTTAGGAAGGCCAGGTATGGTGGCTCACACCTGTAATCCCAGCACTTTGGGAAGCCGAAGCAGGCAGATTGCTTAAGCCCAGGGGTTTGAGACCAGCCTGGGCAACACAGAAAAACCCCATCTCTAGAAAAAATAAAAAATTAGCCAGATATGGTGGCACATGCCTGTAGTCCTCGCTACTCTGGAGGCTGAGGTGGGAGGATTATTTGGGCCCAAAAGCTCAAGGCTCCAGTGAGCTGTGATATCAGTGCACTCCAGCCTGGATGACAGAGGCTCCATCTCAAAAAAGAAATTGAAGAGGACACCAAAAAATAGAAAGATGATCTGTGTTCATGTATTGGAAGAATCAGTATTGTTAAAAATCTCTGTACTACCCAAAGCAATCTATAGATACAATGCAATCCTTATAAAAATATAAATGACATTCTTCAAAGAAATACTTTAAAAATCCTAAAATTTATATAGAACCACAAAACAGCCAGAGTAGCCAAAGCTTTCCAAAGCAAAAAGAATAAAACTGGAGGAATCACATTACCTGACTTCAAATTATATTACAGAGCTATAGTAACCAAAACAGCATGACACTTGCATGAAAACAGACACATAGACTAATGGAACAGAATACAGAACACAGAAACAAATCCACACACCTACAATGAACTCATTTTCAATAAAGGTGCCAAGAACATACATTGGGGAAGGAAGAGTCTCATCAATAAATGGTACTGGGAAAACTGGATATCCACATGCAGAAAAATGAAACTGGACTCCCATATCTCATATACAAAAATCAAGCCAAAATGGACTAAAGTGGTCAGGCGCCTCTACAGGCTCACGCCTGTAATCCCAGCATTTTGGGAGGCCAAGGCAGATGTATCACTTGAGGTCAGGAGTTCTAGACCATCCTGGCCAACATGGTGAAACCCTGTCTCTATTAAAAGCACAGAAATTAGCTGGGTGTGGTAGTGCATGCCTATAATCCCAGCTACTTGGAAGGCTGAAGCAGGAGAATTCCTTTAACCTGGGAGGCAGAGGTTTTAATGAGCTGGGGTCATACCACTGCACTCTAGCCTAGATGACAGAGCGAGACTCTGTCTCAAAAAAAAAAAAAATGCCGGGCATGGTGGCTCACACCTGTAATCCTAGCACTTTGGGAGGCTGAGACAGGTGGATCATGACAAGGTTGGGAGATCAAGTCCATCCCAGCTAACACAGTGAAACCCTGTCTCTACTAAAAATAAAAAAAATTCGCCAGCGTGGTGGTGGGTGCTTGTAGTCCCAGCTACTCAGGAGGCTGAGGCAGGAGAATGGAGAGCTTGCAGTAAGCCAAGATCGTGCCACTGTGCTCCAGCCTGGGTAACAAGAACGAGACTCTGTCTCAAAAAAAAAAAAAAAGGAATAAAGACTTAAATCCAAGACCTCAAACTATGAAATGACTAAAAGAAAACATTGGAGACACTTTCTAGGACACTGAAGTGAACAAAGATTTCTTGGGTAATACCCCACGAGCACAGGCAACAAAGTGAAAGTGGACAGATGGGACCATATCAAGTTAAAAAAATTCTGCACAGCAAAGGATATCTTCAACAAAGTGGCTGGGTGTGGTGGCTCATGCCTGTAATCCTAGCACTTTGGGAGGCTGAAGTGGGAGGATTACCTGAGCTCAGAAGTTCAAGACTAGCCTGGCCAACATGGCAAAATCCTGTCTACTAAAAATACAAACAGCCAGGCGTGGTGGTGTGCTCCTGTAGTTGCAGCTACTTGGGTCTGAGGCAGGAAAGTCACTTGAACCCAGGAAGCTGAGGCTGCAGTGAGCCGAGATCGCACCACTGCACTCCAGCCTGGGCGACAGAGTGGGACCCAGACTCTGCCTAAAAAAAAAAAAAAAAAATGAAGGGACAACCCACCAAATGGGAGAAAACATTTGCAAACTACCCATGTGACAACAGATTCATAACCAGAATATATAACAGCTCTCTAGGAAAAAAAAAAATCTCATCAGTTAAATCAAATTTAAAATGGCAAAATGATTTCAATAAACATTTCTCAAAAGAAGTCATGCAAATGGAGCCAGGTGTGGTGGCTCACACCTGTAATCTCAGCACTTTGGAAGGCCAAGGTGGGCAGATCACTTGAGGTCAGGAATTCGAGACTAGCCTGGCCAACATGGTGAAACCCCATCTCTACTAAAAATACAAAAATTAGCCAGGTGTGGTGGTGGGCACCTGTAATCCCAGCTACTCAGAAGCCTTAGACAGGAGAATCACTTGAACTTGGTAGATGGAGGTTGCAGTGAGCCAAGATCGTGCCACTGCACTCCAGCCTGGGCAACAGAGTGAGACTCCATCTTAAAGAAAAAAGACATACATATGGCAGACAGGTATGTGAAAAGGTGCTGAACATCACTGGTCATCTGAGAAATGCAAATCAAAACTATGAGATATCATCTCACCCCAATTAAAATGTCTTTTTTCTGAAAGACAACAACAAATGTTTGTGAGGATATGGAGAAAAGGGAACCCTCATACAGTTTCGATGGGAATATAAATCAGTACAACCACTATGGAGAACAGTTTAGAGGTTCCTCAAAAAACTAAAAATCGAGCTACTGTACAATCCAGCAATCCCACTCCTAAGAATATACCCAAAAGAAAGGAAATCAGTGTATCAAAGAGGTATCTGCACTCCCAGGTTTATTGCAGCACTATTTGCACTAGACAACATTTGGAATCAAGCTGTGTCCATTGACAAACAAGTGGATAAAGAAAATGTGGTACACATACACAATGGAGTGCTATTCACACACAAAACAAAATGACATCCTGTCAACTGCAACAACATGGATGGAACTGGAGGTCATAATGTTAAGTGAGATAAGCCAGGCGCAGAAAGACATACTTCGCATGTTCTTTCTTTTTTTTTTTTGGAGCTAGAAATTAAAACAATTGAACTCCTGGAGATAAGAGAGTAGAATGATGGTTACCAGAGGCTGGGATGGGTATTTGGAGGCAGGTGGGATGGATGGTTAATGGATGTTAAAAAAAAAAAAAACAGAATGAGTGAGACCTAGCATTTGCTAACACAAGAGTGTGAGTATAATCAAAAATAATTTAATTTTACATTTTAAAATAACTAAAAGAGTGTAATTGGATTGTTTGTAACACAAGCAGTAAGTGTTTGAGAGGATGGATACCACATTTACCCTCGTGATTGTTATGCATTGTATGCGTGTATCAAAATACCATGTAGGCTGGGCGCGGTGGCTCACGCCTGTAATCCCAGCATTTTGGGAGGCTGAGGCGGGCAGATCACGAGGTCAGGAGATCGTGACCATCCTGGCTAACACGGTGAAACCCCATCTCTACTAAAAATACAAAAAATTAGCCGGTCGTGGTGGCACATGCCTGTAGTCGCAGCTATTCAGGAGGCTGAGGCAGGAGAATCACTTGAACCCGGGAGGCGGAGGTTGCAGTGAGCTGAGATCGCACCACTGCACTGCAGCCTGGGTGACAAAGTGAGACTCCTTCTCAAAAAAAAAAAAAAAAAATCAAGTAACCCACAAATACACACACCTACTATGTATCCACAAAAATTAAAAAAAAATTTTATGCAGGTACAGAGGCTATGGGATAAGGCAGAAAAATACAATCAATACTGGGCAATTTGGTGATACAAAACAAGTACAAAACAATTGCATTTTATCTGTATTATTGGTATACAAAAGAAGTACATTGATAATACAGAGTAGGTACAAAGTATTATTGGTGTATAAAACAAGAGTAACTAATGGTGCAGAGAAAGGAAAAATTGGTATGGATTGGATTAGTCATATAGGCTTAATTGGAAAAAAAAAATAGGCAACATGGTATCATTTTTTGTGACTGTAATATATTTTTCAGGAATTTGTATGGTGTTTTTCTATTTTGTGAAATGAGAATATAAACCCCCCAAAGGTGTTTATAAGTCATACATTAGCTGAGCATGCCAAGAGCTCTTATTTCTTGTTATAGTGTAGTGTGCCAATTAAAAACTATATTCAAAGCCGAGTGGATTTGAGGAAGTAAAATATCTACTTGGTCTATTTATCGTGTTGTACAGATCTAAACAGTAGGAATGTTTAATACATTCTGAAGATATAGATTATAAAACTTTCCTTAAATATTATATTTCTAGTTTTGATCAATTTAACAGTCTTTTTTCTTTTGTTACTTCTTATTAAGGGTCAACTGTATTTGTTGGTAACGGACCAGGGGTTTCTTACTGAAGAAAAAGTTGTTTGGGAAAGCCTACACAACGTAGATGGTGATGGAAATTTCTGTGACTCAGAATTTCGTCTTCGGCCTCCTTCAGATCCTGAAACTGTATACAAAGGACAACAAGATCAGATAGATCAGGTAAATTTGTATTGTCTTCTTTATAATGCTTAAAATGCTGATTTTTTTCAAATGTGAATTCAGTTAGCCAAAATTTTTCAACTGAAGATTAATTCATCAATATACTTGTGAAATTTTCCTGACACTTCCTGAATAGTTGGTGATCATTCTACGTGTACATTAATTATGTACTTTGGTGCAGAAGGCCAGATCATATTGAACTGTGAAGGTTATGGTGAGAAGTTTGAATTTTATTCTAATTGCAGTAGAGAAGCTATGTCAAGCATTAAACATGGAAGTGATGGGATCTTCTTTACCTTTTTAAAAGACTGCTATTTGGAGAATACATAGGAAGGGTACAGGTTTAAGCAGAGACAAACAGTCCAAGCAAGAGCTGATGATGGCTTAGCCTTGGGTGGTAAAGATGAAAAGATGAGCACATATCTGAGTTATATTTTGACTAGTTAGAAACAGTAGAGGAGAGAGAATCTGGAAGGTAGCATATACTGTATAAAGAATGGGTGGATATTCTAAACCTTAGAGGCCAAGGTGAGGAGTAGACATTTATAGCAGGAGACGCACTAGTGAATAGAACTTGCATTTAGAAATGAGACAGATGAGATTTTTTTTTTTTTTGACAGATGAGATTTTTGCCTGCCATAAGTGGGCAGGCTTGGAGCCACAGGTCTGTTTATTATTAGAGGCATGATGGTGATGTGAATTCTTCCCTGACTGAAGCAAAAATATGGTCATATTAAACAGTTGGCATATATTTCACTCATAACAATTTAAGTGCACAAAGACTGTTCAGTTAGCCAGTATTCAGTGAGGAGTTGTTTTCCTGGCACAATAATTAGGTCCTAGGGATACAACGATAAATCATTCAGTCCTGTCCTTAAAGATGCTGAGCCTAGTAGGGGAGGCAGATATTTGACCAACGCATGTTATATGTTAAGTGCTATAATGGCAATTTGAAGAGCAGGTATCAAGTACACAAAAGAATATTTAATTCAAACAAATATGCATCTTTCTAGGACTTTTCTTTGAAAAACAGTTCTGAAAGTCATTGTGCTCATTTTCCTTCAGAAGCTATACACGGGTATTGTGTTTTAAATGTTAAGAGAAATGTGCGGGATTTTTCTAAGCGTTATATTATATATAAAAAATATTGGGCGGGGCATGGTGGCTCACGCCTATAATCCCAGCACTTTGAGAGGCCGAGGTGAGTGGATCACCTGAGATTGGGAGTTCAAGACCAGCCTGGCCAACATGGCGAAACCCTGTCTCTACTAAACATACAAAGGTTAGCCAGGTGTGGTGGTGTGCACCTGTAACCCCAGCTACTCGGGAGGCTGAGGTGAGAGAATCGCTTGAACCCAGGAGGCAGAAGTTGCAGTGAGCCAAGATCGTGCCATTGCACTCCAACCTGGGTGACAGAGCAAGAGTCTGTCTCAAAAAAAAAAAAAAAAGGCGAGGCGCAGTGGCTCACACCTATAGTCCCAGCACTTTGGGAGGCCAAGGCGGGCCGATCACGAGGTCAGGAGATCAAGACCATCCTGGCTAACATAGTGAAACCCCATCTCTAATTTTAAAAATGCAAAAGATTAGCTGGGCATGGTGGCATGTACCTGTATAGTCTCAGCTACTCGGGAGACTGAGGCAGGAGAATCGCTTGAACCCAGGAGGCGGAGGTTGCAGGGAGCCAAGAAAAAATTGGAGCAGGGGAATGAAGGCAAAGCAATAGATTGTCACAGTAGTCCAGATAAGGTGTTGAGATTGTTATCTGGAAGCAGCAAGGAAGAGGTGGATTCAAGACCATGAGGCTTCATAAAGAGCAGAGTTTGAAGAATTCAGAAGAACTTGAAGGACAAATTCTTTCTATCTTTATATCCATGAGATAGTCATGCTATATGTATGACAAGATCTTTACAGGCAACAACCTTTTTTATTTTTTGAGACAGGGTCTCACTCTGTCACCCAGCCTGGAGTACAGTGGTGCGATCTTGGCTCACTGCAACCTCCACCTCCTAGGCTCAAGCAATTCTCTCACCTTAGCCTCCCGAGTAACTGGGACTACAGGCATGTGCCACCACACCTGGCTAATTTTTGTATTTTTAGTGGAGGCAGGGTTTCGCCATGTTACCCACACTGGTCTCGAACTCCTGGGCTCAAGTGATCTGTCCGCCTTGGCCCCCGAAAGTGCTGGGATTACAGGCGTGAGCCACCCCACCTGGCCACAGGCAAAAACCATTTACCCATCCTCTGTATTATTTAAAATTATCTTATTTTGAGGGTAGATGGGGGAGGAGGTACACAGACTGGTCAAATTTTAGTCAGCACTGACTCTTAATAAAGTGGATATTAAGTTAACGCTTGACCAAAATGCACTTTTTCTGATAGAAAGTAATCTGAGTGTGTACATGGGAGTAGGAAGGAGATGGTTAAATAATTGAGTAAGACTATATGATGGCTACTATGTTGTCTTTAAAAATCATCTTTTAGAAGAATAATAATCTTGGGAAATTCTTATTTTTTAAAACAGAAGACTTTTAGGACACTAAATGGAAAAGAAAACATTGCAGTAGTTTCAGAGGGTTGGTTTGAATTTGTATGGGAATGTAGAAAAATAATAATAAACTACTGTTAACAGTAGTTATCTCTGTGTAATGATATTATGGTGATTTAAATTTTGTTATTTATGGTTTTCAGTTTTGTCTGAATTGCCTATAAGCATGTGTTTCTTTTGTAAATGGGGAACTTTTTAAAATTCTTTAAACCAATTTACTTATTTATTTATACATGAAACAGGGTCTCAGTCACCTCGGCTGCAGTGCAATGGTGTGATCACAGCTCACTGCAGCCTCAACTTTCTGGGCTCAAGTGATCCTCCCACCTCAGCCTCCCCTACATGTAGCTGTGACCACGGGCATGTGTCACCATGCCCAGCTAATTTTTTGTGTGTTTTTTGCAGAAATAGAGTTTTGCCATGTTGCTCAGGCTGGTCTCAAACTCCTGGGCTCAAGCAGCCTGCCCGCCTCAGCCTCCCAAAGTGCTGGGATTATAGGTGTGTGCCGTTGTACCTGGCTCCCCTCTACTTTTTGTTTTGTTTTCTTTTTAGCTTTCTTGACTGCCTATATATGGCTTCCAAAAACAATTTCAAATACGTTCCCCCCAGTTTATTTTTTTTGCGACCGGGTCTTGCTGTGTCGCCCAGGCTGGGGTGCAGTGGCATGATCTTTGCTCACTGCAACCTCTGCCTCCCAGGTTCAAGTGATTCTCCTGCCTTAGCCTCCCGAGTAGCTGGAATTACAGGTGTGCACCACTACACCTGGCTAATTTTTGTGTTTTTCATAGAGATGGGGTTTCACCATATTGGCCAGGCTGGTCTCGAACTCCTGGGCTCAAGCGATCCACCTGCCTTGGCCTCCCAAAGTGCTGGGATTACAGGCGTCAGCCACCACGCCTGGCCTCCAAAAATATTTAGAACAATGACAGAATCACTGAAATAAGTTCATAGCTCCCCAAGGGAAATACTTAGGAAGGTAACTGTCATTTTAATATTTAAAATAAAATGGTTTTTATTTTAATTATTTGTCATTTTATATTGTTTTCTTTTTCTTTTTTTGTTTTTATTCATTTTTATAGACAGGGTCTCTGTCACCCGTGTTGGATGGAGTGCAGTGAGGAGATCATAACTCACTGTAACCTCAAACTCCTGGGCTGACATAATCCTCCTGCCTCAGCCTCCCGAGTAGCTAGGACTACAGGTGCACATCACCACACCTGGCTGATTTTTAAACTTTTTTTGTAGAGACAGGGTCTTGCTATATTGCCCGGGCGTGGCATATTTTTTTAAAGCCATTCTTACAGCTTTATAGATATAACATCTATATTTGCAGTCAGTCATTCTTGGGCAAAATCTCATGGCTAATGATGGTTATAATTTAATTTCTTAGGATTATCTTATGGCATTATCTCTACAACAAGAACAGCAGAGCCAAGAGATCAACTGGGAACAAATCCCAGAAGGAATCAGTGATTTGGAACTAGCAAAGAAACTCCAAGAGGAAGAGGACAGACGGGCTTCTCAATACTATCAGGAACAGGAACAAGCAGCAGCTGCTGCTGCTGCTGCCTCTACACAGGCTCAGGTAAAAACTAGTGTTCTGAGTCTTAAATGTGATGATCACAGCTGGGTGCAGTGGCTCACACCTGTAATCCCAGCCCTTTGGGAGGCCGAGGCAGGCAGATTGCTTAAGGCCAGGAGTTGGAGACCAGCCTGACCAACATGGCAAAACCCTGTCTCTACTAAAAATACAAAACTTAGCTGGGCGTGGTGGTGAACACTTGTAATCCCAGCTACTTAGGAGACTGAGGTAGGAGAATTGCTTAACCTGGAAGGCAGAGGTTGCAGTGAGCTGAGATTGTGCCGCTACACTCCAGTCAGGATGATAGAACAAGACTCCTTCTCAAAAAAAAAAAAAAAGGCGATGATCACTTTAGCAGTAAATTTCACTTGAGATAAAAAATTTTAAATTAGGTATTAACTCTTCCATTTTGTTAGGAATTTAGCACCCATGGGTTTTATGACATTGTCCTAAGCTTGTATCTCGTTTAGTAAAATATTTTCTCCTGAGGTTCTGATTTTCAAATTTATTTCTAAAATTCATAATAGCTGCCAAGAAAATAAGTCAATTTGGATGAAGTCCTTTCTATCAACTAGAGGGCAGTATGAGGTACTACTAGAAAAAATATAGACTTTGGATCCAGATAAATGTGGATTTGCATTTCCTGCTCCTGTCTTCCCTTCTAGTTGCAATCTCTTGGATGACATCCTCTGCCTCTCTTAGCCTCATTTTCCCTATCTGTAAAATAGAAGAACTCTTAAGTTTGTTGTGAACAACAAATAATATTAGGGCTTAGCCCAATGTTTAACATGTACTAGGTATTCAACAAAGATTGACATCTCCCTACTTTTCACTTTCCATAAACCGTTTAAAGCACTTAAAATATAATGGTGAGATTCTACATGTTAAATCTCATTTCATTAAGTTAAAAATATTCCCCTCCTTTTATATTTATACCATGCCAGACTGCTGTTCTTTTTTTTTTTTCAGATGGAGCCTCACTCTGATGCCTAGGCTGGAGTGCAGTGGTGCAATCTCAGCTCTCTGCAAACTCCACCTCATGGGTTCAAGCAATTCTCCTACCTCAGCCTCCCAAGTAGCTGGGATTACAGGTGTGTGCCACCACGCTCAGCTAATTTTTGTATTTTTAGTAGAGATGGGGTTTCACCATATTGGCCAGGCTGGTCTCAAACTCTTGACCTCAAGGGATTCACCCACCTCGGCCTCCCAAAGTGCTGGGATTACAGGCGTGAGGCACCGTGCCTGGCCTAGACTGTTCCTTTTGATTCAGATATACAAGAAATTCTGATTTGGGCATACAAAAAAAGCAAGATGCCCTTTTAAGTCTCATAAAACTAAATATAGAAGTCCCCATTAAAATAAGTATAAAATTTCTATTTCTAGCTCAAATATTGACTACTCCAAGCTTAATAGTTAAATCCTACCACGTTATGCCTAGCTTTTCACTCAAAAAAGGTGTCTTATTTCACATTCCACACTCCCAGTTCTCAGGGGTTCTTTTCTCCTTTTAAGATCTGTTTATTATGGCTGGGTGCGGTGACTCACACTTGTAATCCCAGCACTTTGGGAGGCCAAGACAGGTGGATCTCGAGGTCAGGAGTTCGAGACCAGCCTGGCCAATATGATGAAACCCTGTCACTACTAAAAATATAAAAAATTAGCTGGGCGTGGTGGCATGCACCTGTAGTCCCAGCTACTCAGGAGACTGAGGCAGGAGAATCTCTTGAACCAAGGAGGCAGAGGTTGCAGTGAACTGAGATCATGCCACTCCAGTCAGACTGAGACTCCATCTCAAAAAAAAAAAAAAAAAAATCTGTTTATTATGGAATTTAGTGAGGTTTTGAAGAACTATTATAGTTTATCAAAAGGTGTCACTTTCTTTAACATTTTCTAAACTTTTGACAAATGTGTCTTCAATTTGACTTTAGGCAATATAATCTTATGTTATTTACTGTTTGAAATACTGACTTTGGGATGCCAAGGTGGGCGGATCAAGAAGGCAGGAATTCAAGACCAGCCTGGCCAACATAGTGAAACCCCGTCTCTACTAAAAATACAAAAAGTTAGCCGGGCGTGGTGGCAGGCACCTGTAATCCCAGCTACGTGGGAGACCAAGGCGGGAGAATCTCTTGAACCCAGGAGGCGGAGGTTGTAGTGAGACAAGATTATGCCATTGCACTCCAGCCTGGGCAACGGTGCCAGACTCTGTCTCAAAAAAAAAGAAATTTTATTTATTTAGAATAATGAATGCATTAATTATATCCAGAATGGTAGAGGCAACTGCTCATATATCACGTAATATAACAAATCTGTATACCAATAGCTAACTTCTTTTTCCATCAGTGATTCCTTCCACTGTTATGATTTTTGTTTCTATATAACCATGAATAAGTCCCTTAGATTAATTTTTTCCTGCGTATTTTTCTTAAAGCAGGGCCAGCCAGCACAAGCCTCTCCATCAAGTGGAAGACAATCTGGGAATAGTGAACGTAAACGGAAGGAACCGCGAGAAAAAGATAAAGAAAAAGAAAAGGAAAAAAATAGCTGTGTTATTTTGTAACAACTGTTGGCTTCTGTTGGAACCACCTATATGTCTTGAGAAACAAAACCACAGGAGGAAAGGAAGAAAACCCGATCAATACCGTCTGTGCCTGATTTCCCAATGGATTTTGTTCATGTTTTTTCAGGGGAAAGGTTGTTACTTAGTTACAATCAGACTTTTTCAAGTCACACAATACACTCTTTATGAGCTGGAGTTTTGTGTTACAAGTTGGAAATGCTGTGTGTTGTCATTCATGAAAAATACTGCACTTGTAGCCAGATAAGCAAATCACAGCAAATTTTGTGTCATAGTGACATTCATAACTCATATCAGTTAGTAAGCTATTATATCTTCTGTTCTAACAATGAATGGAGGTAATTGATTTAGTCTGATTCCTTCCTGAAATCTAAATATTAGCACAATAGTTTCTGAAATTTTACAATGTTAAATTATGATCTAATCCATGAGAAACCACGGGTTTAACATAGGGATTCAAAAAAAAACAAAAACAAATAAAATAATAGGAATAAATAACCCTTAATTATGTATTGGACTAGTTCAGCCCTTAAACAGCTTTACCTTTATTTAGGAATGTACATTTTAGGTATTATCTTGAGAATTGATCATGGAGCTTAGATTTAATTTAGATAGCAAAAATAAAGATTTGTATTTCTTTTCCAATAGCAAAAGGTTGCATAACACTAATACTTATAACCTATCAATATCAGATATTAATGACTTTGTAGTGTTGTAAAATTTTGAGGAATTTTGGAGTCTTTATCATAGGTAACCTGGACCACAGTTACTATTTATTGGCAATGTGATTGAGTATATGGAGGAAAGCACAGTGGATGCTAGGCCTTGTAAATATGGGGATGTAGAAAAGCAGATAGTTCAGTGTCTACCTTTTTCTAGTATTACCTTGAACCTTAAATTTTAAGTCATGTTTATTGCTAGAAAATTAAATGTACTTATTAAAACCAATGAAAAAGCACATTTCTGAAAGGAAGTTAGAGATAATCTCTGTGTCTTGTGAAAAGACATTAATAAAAATCTGAGAGGGCCGGGCGCAGTGGCTCACACCTGTAATCCCAACACTTTGGGAGGCCAAGGCGGGCGGATCACCTGAGGTCAGGAGTTCACGACCAGCCTGACCAACGTGGTGAAACCCCATCTCTACTAAAAATACAAAAGATCAGCCGGGCATGGTGGCGGGCGCCTGTAGTCCCAGCTACTCAGGAGGCTGAGGCAGGAGAATTGCTTGAACCCGACAGGCGGAGGTTGCAGTGAGCCGAGATCGCACTGCTGCACTCCAACCTGGGCAACAAAGCGAGACTCCATCTCAAAAAAAAAAAAAAATCTGAGAGTAGCTAAGAATTTGGAGGAATTTATGTAAAAGCAATCAGAGTTTTTAACTTATGGGAACCAAATAAAACTATAACCTCTTATAGTGTTTATAGAACTCAGAAATACTATTTATTTAACTTTATTATGAGGCCACACATATTTTCCTGTGTTTCTATATATAGTTTGGAAAACTGTCCTCAATAGTCTGTTTTATATGCCTTATATTTAAAAGTTTGTTTTAGTCATTTTGAAAGACTATTGCTGCTGCAAATAGTTGTGTACTTTACATTCTAAGCTTCAGTACATTTCTTTATTTAAGAGCATCGTAATCTGACCTGAGCATCCACTTGGAGAATGTTTTTTTTGTGTGTGGTCTAGGGTGACAAAAGACCACAGAAATGTGTGGTCTGGATTTTTTCAACTACGTCATTAACTTTATGATCCTAGACCAGTTATAGGATGAATCTATATGTAAAAATAAAGTCTTATTTATGGAAGGAATTATTCTAAGGGAAAAATCCAGGGTCAAGCTGTATCTTTTATGTCCTCTATATTGCATGTCTATTTCTGTTACACAATTCGTTATTTCTTCAAATTTCCTATGGTAGTATGATAAATCATCAAAGAACCTGTTTGGGATATAAAACTCTGATAGAAAATATTTCATGAGTATCTTGATTATAACCTAGAATATGTATACATTAGTAATAATAACCCGATATACTGCAGAACTCTCTATTGGCTCAAACAGGTTGACCTCAATCCAAGTTTACTCTTGATATCACTATTGGCTGAAGGTGGAAACTCAAACCTCAGGGTTTGTTTTTCTCGGGACAGATAGTAGTGATAGTGCATTATATTTTAATAAGAAAAACCAGTAAACCTTGAGAAATTTTAAAAAGCATAGTTGAGGCATATTTTTTCATAATTATATACTTATCTATTGCCCACGGAAAATATATGTGTAGAAGTATTTCTTCTGTTATTTGTTACTATCTTCTTAATTTGTTCCAAAGAAAATACTGCCATACTGCATTCCCTCTGGAAGGAAACAAAACAAAACAAAACTCACTCAAAACCAGCAGTGCTGCTATCAGATAAGTAGATGTCAATATATACTTACAAGGAAAAACTAAAAAATGTAATGTGTTATTTCAGCCTTTTTCTATGTAATATTTCCAAGTCAGACTTTCTTACATTCCTGGAATTTAGTTTGATATACCAAGAATAATAATGATAAAATGTTTGCTTTGATTACTGTGGGGGGAAAAATGAAATGTAAATTGTATTAAAACACACAAACTTTTCAGAGATACTGGTTTCCTGTCCTTAAAGGGTATAAAGAATTTAGATCATGCCTGTAATCCCAGCACTTTGGGAGGCCGAGGCAGGTGGATCATCTGAGATCAGGGGTTCGAGACCAGCCTGGCCAACATGGTGAAACCCTATGTCTACTAAAAATACAAAAATTAGCCAGGCATGGTGGTGGGCACTACTTGGGAGGTTGAGGCAGGAGAATCGCTTGAACCCAGGAGGCAGTGGTTGCAGTGAGCTGAGATCACGCCACTGCACACCAGCCTGGGCAATAGAGCGAGACTCCGTCTCAAAAAAAAAAAAAAAAAAAAAAAAGTAGAGCTACTGTGTCTTTATTTTGTTAAATTTTGCCCAAGGTAACGTTATATATCCAGCCATTTCATTGCTGGTTTGGGTACATAGGATTTTGATAGTGGTATATTAAAGTCTTTCCTTCCAAGTATTTTGTAATACTTGGAAATTATTAGATGTATACTGCTAACAAAAGTTAGAACTTAAACATCTTTGTTTTTATCATTTATAGCCTAGATTAGGGACACATTTGCATCCAGCACATCATCATTAGATTTGAAAATAGGCAGATGAATGAACAAATATGGTCACTGCACTGTCCTTTTACTTTCCGAGTCTAAGTATATTCCTTAAGGTTAGTAACCAGAGTCTTTATTGAAAATCTAAAATTTTTCTTCATGTCTAATCCCACTGCATCCACAATGCTGTGATTTATAGTACATGATCAACACTTACTGTACGTGTGTGTTTCTGAAGCAAGTTATCAGGACCTCTGTTAGATTCTCAAAAGAATTCAGAACTTCCCTTCAATTTAAGAATCACCATTTTAAGAATACATGTGTACATATACACATTAAGCAGTATGAGGCAGCTAAATTTGGCATTGGTTTTACACTGGTCCAGTGTGCTTAGGTAAAGTAACTTCTTCCACGTTTCAAGGTCAGGTTCAGAGTTGAATGAAGCGTAGATTTAAGTTTAGGATTAGGCTTTGGAATATATCTTGTTTTTATTGTCTCACATTTCTAATATTGACTACTTATCCCATATTATGTGTCAAATTCTCATATTTCAAGTTCTTTCTCATACTTCTTGATCTTGGCTTAACTAAACAAGTTAATATCAGAGACTAGTTGACCAAACCCAAGATTAACCATTTTGCACTTGCACAAAACCTTCTTAGCATTTTGCTTTCAATGAATCAGAAAGTCAGTTCACTAAGAGATGGATCATGAAAGAGAACTAGAAGTCCAATAAATAAGAAAATAATTATTCATATATTAACATTGACGTGAACTACATATCTAAAATCTTGCTGGAGAAAAATCGAGGCAAGAATTTCCAGAACTGTCCTCAAATAGCTCATTTATTTAAGTTTTGTTAAAAAGTAAAAGTGTGGCCGGGCGCGGTGGCTCAAGCCTGTAATCCCAGCACTTTGGGAGGCCGAGATGGGCGGATCACTAGGTCAGAAGATCGAGACCATCCTGGCTAACACGGTGAAATGTCTCTACTAAAAAATACAAAAATACTAGCCTGTAGTCCCAGCTACTCGGGAGGCTGAGGCAGGAGAGTGGCGTGAACCCGGGAGGCAGAGCTTGCAGTGAGCTGAGATCCTGCCACTGCACTCCAGCCTGGGCGACAGAGCGAGACTCCATCTCAAAAAAAAAAAAAAAAAAGTGAATTGATTTACATTTGATTAACTTTTCCTATTCCATGCACTAGTTATTTTAAAACATGATAAAAACCTTCTGGGCATTACCTATCACACAGTACTTATGCATAAACTTAGTAAAATTACTAATGTTTGATAAAATAAGATGGAGGCATAACGAATAGTCTACAATTTGTATTTTAAGGAATTGGACATGAACAATTCTAGATCATTTTGTGTCTATAAACCTGACTTTCTCTCTTGCCTTGGGCAAACTTTCTGTGCCTCAGTGTACTCTAAATATGTGAAGGATGCTCTTTTTGATTAAGTGTTTTGCACTCCTGAATAAAGGGCATAGTATAAGCACAAAGTATGACTTAAATTATCACAAATATTACACATCCTATGTTCTTCAGTGTGCACACTTTTTTCTCAATAACAAAATGTATCTTGTTAGTTTTTTTTAATGCTGTCAAAATTTGTAGTTTCTTTGAGTATGGCATCATGTCTTCCCAAATGCATTTTATAGTTGCTTTTGTGTTCTATAGACTATAGAGTCAAAATCAAGAGTATTTTGGGAGGATCAGAAGCATTTAAAAATTTTTTTTTTCTAGTATCTTTCACAGATCTAAATATTTAGATTTTCTTTGCCTTTTTCTCCATGAAATAAAGTACAGTGGTATCAAATTACTAATACAGTATATAACCTTTGTTTGCATTGGTGGAATTCATTTAGATCTCTTAAGTGCTATTATTTTAGGGCTATATAAATTGTGTTTTTAGTGTAAAATGTTATTTGATAATGTGAAGTTAAATCCCTTTTAGAAAGTGACTGAAAATGGTAAAAGAACTCGACAATCTAAGAGTTCTTAGGTTCTCTGATTTAGTATCTTTTATTAATGATGTCCAACACCTCTAAGACTGTTGAGAAAACATGAAGAATTGAGGTTACTCTTCTCAGGTGACACTTTAAATATTAAAATCAGAGGCTTCCTGAACAAAACAAATTGCAAAATAGAGACAATGGCATGAAAGAGGCCAAATGCAGGACTCTGGTAAATTTAACTTATTTTGAATATCTTATCTAAATTTTAGTTCATGCATGTTCTTACTTAATCCTGGTGTTTCTGCTGTTAGATGTTAGAGTTTAATAAATTGTGATATGCATATATTTTTTTACATGAAGGATTCTAGTTTCTAATTTTACTTTTCTGATCTCAAAAAAATTAAACTTGAAAAACAGGGTAAAATTCTTCAACTATTGCCTCAAGTTCAGTTTTGTCCTATTGTCCTGAAAAAGGAGATTTTAGACTTGTCTGCCTAACAGGTATTTTTTAGGGCATGGTACGATCCCAGAGAGAGTGTTGAGATACCATGGCAGAAATATAAAACCTAAGCTTTGAACCCCAGTAGACTTCTTATTCTGCCAGTAAGTCTCTCTACTGTATCTAATATTCTAAGGATTTCTTCAAACCACTTAATAATTTGTCACCATTAACTTTAATATCCGGTTTTAATCTGCACTGTAATATCCTGCTTTGAGAAGAATGCCTCATAAATCAGGGAAGTACAAAACAAAATGTTTTGGAAGGTGATCCTGGCTCCTTTGGCTCTCATAATTGTTTTATAACTGTAAATAAAAAGTCAAGAAACTGGCCTGGTGCGGTGATTCATGCCTGTAATCCCAGCACTTTGGGAGGCCGAGGTGGGTGAATCACCTGAGATCAGGATTTCGAGACCAGCCTGACCAACATGGTGAAACCCTGTGTCTACTAAAAATACAAAAAAAAAAAAAAAAAAATAGCAGGGCGAGGTGGCACATGCCTGTGATCTCAGCCACTGGGGAGGTTGAGGCACAAGAATCGCTTGATCCTGGAAGGCAGAGGTTGCAGTGAGCCAAGATTGCCCTACTGCACTCCAGCCTGGGCGACAGAGCAAGATTCTGTCTCAAAAAAAAAAAAAAAAAAAAGTCAAGAAACTGAAATTCTCAGTTAAGTTCTCAAATCAGCGACCTGTCAAAATAGGCCTTGTAACTGAAAAATACCTTACGAAGCAGTTCTAACTAATGCAATGTGTTTTTAAAAAATGTTTAATGAACCTTACATTGTGAACATAATTGCAACATATTTTAAGACTAACAGTATTTAATCCTTGAAGACCTGTCTTGTATGTCTCTCAATTTTGTCAGAATTTTTATTTTTGTTTTTCACATATGTGAAATAAGCATTTTGTTCAGGGTACATAGGGTATCTTTGTTTTACATATTTTTAAAGATGAGTTTTTGAAAAGCCCTCAGAGGTTTTTGTTAAAAGACTATCTTGCTTAATAAATGACAACTTGTTACAGATTCACACATTACAAGTAGGACAATATAACAGGAGATTGGTGTATGACTGCCTCACAGCAGTCAGCAAAAGGGATCACGTTTGCTTGTGAAACTTCAGAGGTACCCTGAAAGTCATTTCCTGAAGCTAGTGCATGTGAATCTTTTTCCTTGAATTGTGCAGAATAATTGGATTGAGGCACATATTTTGAGGAGTAGCAAGTGGAATGGTGTGATGACTACACAGAAAATTATCTTGAAATATAGCAAAGAAGAGAAACGAGTTTTCTTTCTCCACTTTATTGTTGGACTAATTGGGTCAATTTGCTGTGACATAGCAAAGATCTCCTTGTGCCAGGCCAAGATTGGCTACTGAGTTCTCAAAGCGTTTAAATATATAGATTGCATATGAGTGCCTATTTTTTCCTCCTTTCATTTTCTGTCTTAATACCCTTTTTACTTCTGAAATAATTAATCTGTTTTGCTTTATGACCAGCTTTAATTTCATTTGAGGAATAATAGCAATCCTAGAGATTCATAGGAAAGAGCATTGAAAAACATTTTTTGAATAAAGATACCTAAACCATCTACCCAGCTTAGGGTTGAACTGAATTTCTGTGAAATAAATTTGTTTTAAATACTAATTATTCTAAAACTACTTAATTCTTAAAAACAGTGTCTTCAGTTTCAAAAGTTTCACTTTGGGAGGATAGTCCTAAACAGGCATACATAGATGGTAAAGTATAAAATATTTCTGACAGAATTATTCAGTATTATTCAACATTTACTTTGATGTTTGTTATTGTACCACAAAGATAGTGTCATTGTTGGATTAAAATGTTGGCTGTTTTTGTTAATATACTTAAAACTGTAACCAGTGAATAACACCTGTAGTATTTTTTATTATAGATTATATTTTATTTCAATAAACTTTGATATTTAGACCAAAGTCTGTTTGCTCTGTATATTCATGTAATTGAGCTACAAGTTCAGAAAGTTCAGAAAGTTCAGAAA